CTATACCTTCTATTTCTACTTGAACTACTGGTGATACTTCATTAATAGTATGAATACCCAATCGTTTATCCCATACTGCCAGAACTACCTCTACTTTCACTCTGTAATCCCGGCGGGGATTACGTTTTTTGGACCTTTAGAGAAGGTAGGTTTACTATTTGTAAACCTTCTTTCATAGGTTCCAGCCTTTGGGGCTTTTCCATTTTCAGCCTTCCGTGGGCGTCGACAGTCATGTGCCATGTGACCTGTAATGCCACAGTTATAGTACACTGTCTGCTCATTTCTTTTTGATTTCTTGAAGCAATTTTTAGCCATGTGTCCCACTTTTCCACAGTTGTAACACTGGAAGCTATCGGACTTATTCTGCGTCTTTGTATCCGATGGATTAACCTTGTCTAAGTTATTCACCGTATTTATAGGCGAATATTTCGAATATTTGTGCATATATAATTGCTTTTCTCGTAGCTCTTCTCGTGTAGCTACTTCGATTAGATCTAACAATGTTGCTTGAGCGTTATTTGCTTCATTTACATGTTGCCTAGCTGCATTACTATACAGCCCTCGCTCGTACTCTGATTTTAGAGTATCCTGCAACATATCCTTGCTCGGACGTGCATAAGCCCTACATAACCTATTACCTAACTCATGTAGCTTGTGTCCAAAAACTCAGACTGATTCACCACGTTGTTGATGGAGGTTACACAGTTCGGTTAGAATAACATTAGTGGAGTCTCGTGTCCTGTATTCTTGCAACAACTTACGCACTAAGTATCGATAATCTGTTGTTTCACGAAGTTCACTATAAGCCCTAATATAACATTTTGCCTCTCCTGCTGTTCTTAAATGCAGTATATCAGCTTTCTGGGCATCCGTCCAGCCTGATATTCTTGCTTCTTCCTCTAAAGCATCTACAAAACTCTCGACGTCTTCGTCTGCAGTGCCGTGATACAACGGTATGGCACTTGTTAAATGTGTCGTGCCGCGGGACCCTATCCGTGCAGGCTGTTCTGCTGCGGCTTCATGATCGGCATCAGCCTGCATAGTGGCTCTAGGGCGTGTGCCACCCTCTTCTGTAGTCGTATTTATCCCAGCAGTAGCCATAACTACTTAATTCTAACTTATTTCTAACTTATGCTACTTCGACCGATTTTCTTACTTTTTCCATCTTTCTTTATTCTAACTAACCTTCTGTTAGCTACTCCAAAAATCCTCGAGACTGCGCCAGCTGTAACAGGTTAGCGCTCAGGTGAGCTTAATTGTTGGAGTTTCAATTAAAACCAACCTGTACACCTAATTTATTTGTTGGAGGATTTGTCGTGACGAGTGGAGCCACAAGTCGCTAACTCCAGGAGTTTACAGTTAGAGTAAAGAATATGAGTCTCAGACCAGCAATACTATTCACAAATAACTTTTATTAATCTTTAATACATTAGACATATTACTTAATAGTTAACTCTTTAACCGTTACTTTAACCATTAACATTTATAACACTTCTAATAGAAACATATATTATACAAAAGCTGATCTAGAGAGAGAGATACTTACTGTAGAGTTGGAACCTTCCTAGCAGAGTCCAGATTATTGAGCTGCATAGTTACTGCTTGAAACAAGCATAGAAGTTTAGTGACGGAAGGTCACTGTAGAGACAGTTAACAACCTCTTTAGTTCTAAACATGTTTTGCACACGAAACGCCAATGTACAAGGCCAAGAAAGAGGATGTTGGCCTCGATTCTTTAGCACTGTAGAAGCTATAGAAAAGTCTATATTTTATGAATCATCACGGTGCTTTGATGCAGTATCAGTTACAGTACATGGGTGTAGCAGTACAAGCAAGTAGGCAGCCGGCTAACAGCAGTTGACCATGACCAATAGCCTGAGGGTTTTTGGTGTGGTACTGGATCAGTCCAAAACTTGCCTCCAAGCATTCAATAGAAGCACTGCACTACTTGTGGGTGATGCTGTGTCCTATTTGGATGCTCACCAGGATACAGGGAAATTCTGCTATATAAACCCATGTCAGGAGCTGGAAGATCAGATCTCCGGCGAGTTCTGAAGGTACCCAGCTCTCCAGCCAGTTCTACATAACCAATATAACCGCATATATAATTAACCAATATAATCGTATATAATCTTCTATGTATAATGTATAAGAATGTGTTTGCATTGTATATATATGCCAGTGTATGGGTTATTTTAAAATTTTAAACAAGTAAGCTTAGCTGATATAGAGAGATGGAGAGAATGAGTTGGAGCAGGAATTTTGTTATGGATAACAAAATTCTTCCTAAGAAAGGAGGGATGAAGCAAAGGGAAATTTTTGAGGAAATTTCATCCATTGCTTCTATGAATTTGAATAATATAAAAGTAATTAACTAAGATATAATTGGAAATGAAGACTTTAAGAGTTAAATGAGAGTACACAAGTAGAAGGACATATAACAAGTCAACAAGTCGAAGGACATATAAAAAAACTAAAGAGGACAAGGAGATGTCTGTGTATTATAAAAAATAAGCCTTGAGAGATAAGTAATCAAGAACGAGGTTAGAACTTCAGTAAGTAATAGCACAGCACGTGCATAAACTTATATATATATCTATATAGGGTAAGCACAATTAAAACTCTTCCTGGAAGTATTTATAGATCTCTGGACTGCTACCAACCACCCACTTGCGCAACGCGCACACCTTCCAATAGGAGCAGTGTTTGTGTGGGTAGCAGTGGTAGGTGCAGTTTACTTGGGTAGAACAGGCCATTCGTCGATATGGGGGGCAACCGAAATCTTCCATATCCACGCAGGGTACATTCAGATAATGCTTCAATAGTTGCGCCTTTTCTTTTCCCTTCATGTATACCTTCACGTATTCTTGCCGTATCTCCTGGCACACCCGTAGGAAGTCCGTCGTGGAGTGATCCCCGTCTTCCCATCGTATTCCATGTAGGTACATGGTGCACCAGAGGACAAGACGACGATCTGATTCGCTAAGACGATCCTCGGGAAAAGGAGGCTGGAAACAATAAACGTTGGTCCACCCTGTTTTACAATCCATCACCACCATCTCCTTGATTATATATAACCCGCTGATTTTAAATCCTTCTACTTCCACGATTGCTGCCTTGGGCCGTGGCATGATTTTCCTACAATTATTTACACTTAGTCATTAAACATACATTGATAGTTTGCATAACACCCATAACACATGTATTCGCTTGTTCTTTCGTTCACCATAGTCACACACTTGCTCGGTGTTTCTGTCCGATCCTTGTTCGTAATTGTTCACTAGGTCACTTCAGTTTATTCGTACTCGTTCAGCTCACTAAGTCACAACACTTCACTCATACGTTGTTCGTTTCACTTTTCTGATCACAGTCTGTTATTTTTGTCTCTTCTTGAACTTTCTATGCCTAATAATTTTAACTATAATTTTGACTAATTTTGCTGTTAGAATTTTACTACCCTTGTCAATTGGTTATATCTAGATAATTTTGTAATCATCTAAATAATCAAGCTCATATCTGGTTAGATGGGGCCTACTCATTCAGTTCTACTATTTCAGTAGCTTCTGAATAATCAGACAATTGCTGATTGCCTGTTCTTGATCTTTTCTTCTTTCTATTTTTACATAGCCCATCTAATGTCATTAACCTTAATAAAGCCAATTTATCTCTTTTGATATACAACGTTATGCTTATCAGTATTACTATTAAGCATAAGGTTGTTATTACCGAGTTAGATAATCTCCATTTATCTAACTTTTGTTCACCAGCCGTAGTACGTAATTGTTCTACATGCTGTTGAAATTCTTGAAGACTTAATCCTGTCTGTCTAAGGGGTAAATGTTTAGTATTTTCTAATATATCCCTTAGTCCTTTAGTATCTGTCTCTATATCTATACTCTGAATTAACTGTGATTCTTTTTTCGTTAGTAATTCTTGTAGTTCTGGTATTTTTATGGTTAACTTAGTTCCTATGTATCTAGTTTCACTTCTAAAGTTTGACGGCAAGGTTATACCTTGACTATACGCTGAACAATTCCTAGCTAGCTTTAAATAACTGCTATTGTTTAACCTAACTACCCTGGTGTAATAATCAAACTGATGTACATTTGGTTTTGGGCAAACTACTGATAAAGTTAGTTCGTCTTTAACGTTAAATAACCAAATTCCTGGGGTTCTAGTTTTATAAAAGTAGAATGGTTTAGGAATGATTATTCTTTTCTCACATAGTTCTGATATCTTATTCTTAATTCCTGTGAATATCACGTAGTTACAGACTACTATAGGTGTTGAATACATACCTGAGTTAGGATCACAAACTCTGATAGGTCCGTCTATACAATTTAACATGTCCTCCTCAGTCATTTCAACATATGTATGTTGATCATTCGAAATAGCAATATATGGTTTATCATTTTCTATAGCTAGAGCTAATGAATGGTTTATTGCTATCGGCAAAGACACGATCTTATACAGTTTAAACATCCTATCAGTCGCTTTCAATGGTATCTCTATAAACATTCGTAGAGTATCCTTAACTGCAGCTGTTTTTACATCAGCCCATGTGTAATGCCTATAAATCTGATCACTATGAGTAGGTATGATAACTTGTAAATGTGGAGGTAATCTCCTTTCAATTTCATCGAGTACTCTTTCTAACTTACCTGGTGGTAAGAAGTAAGAGCTTAGCTTTTTATCTGCAGCTACATATAATGCTTGTATTAACTTAGCCAATTCTGTTCTACTATTAGCTACTGTAAAAGATAACTGTTGTAAGTTATTCTGAATTCTAGGGTTGAAAACTAACATTTCCATTCCTGCTTTATGTATCTCCGTTTGTTTTATTTTCGTGTGTATTAACTCATTCGTAATATTTATTAAAGCATTGGATACTTTCCTGATTTCTAGGTCATGTAGCTCAAGTGTTTGATTCAATGAATTCATTATAGTTGCTTGCTCTCCTATTAAATGACTCATTTCTTTAGAAACCTGTCTTTGTTTTTCTACCTTTTTATTCAGGTCTTGTAAATCGTCGGTGGATGCTGCGTTTATTAATCCTCGTTTTTGCCTGGTTCTATCAGATATAGATACACTATTCTTAATATCTTGTAGTTCTAATAAAAGTTCACCTATTTCGTCGTGATATTGTCTGGTTAAGGTTTTGTAATTATTAATTAATCCTTCCTGTAATACCCTAGCTAACTGTAATATAGCCGTTCCTTGATTTCTCATGTGATATAATGTCACATTCGCTGAACCTTCTTCACTAAAACTCACATGCGTTTTCACATTCAATGGTCTTTCAAACAATATCAACTCTTCTTGCAATCTCGTTAGTAATCTAACGTATTGTGGAAATGGTATATCTTCCACAATTATCCATTTATCACCAGATAATATGAAATTACCTTCTTCAACAAAAATTACATTTACCTTGTTTTCAACTGGTACAATACTCACATTCTCAGTTAGGGGTTTTGCTAATAAAGCAAAATGTGGTATAAACCTTCTGTAGAATCCTACAAATCCTAGAAATGCACGAATATCTTTTATGGATTTAGGTACTGGATAATTTCTACAAACTTTTAACTTTTTAGTGTCGGGTTTAACACCGTCTGCAGTTACTATATGACCCAAGTATTCTACTTCATTTTTCAAAAACTGACATTCACTTGGTTTAAGTTTTAAGTTTGCTTTTCTTAATCTATCAAATACATGTCTCAACCTTTCTAAGTGTTCTTCAAAACTTGCAGCGAACACTATAACATCGTCTAAGTAACAGAAACATTCGGAATCTTGCAAGCCTGATAATACAACATCCATTAATCTCTGGAATGTTGACGGGGCATTGCATAAGCCGAAAGGCATTCTGTTAAACTGGTACTTACCTGAAGGTAAAACGAAAGCGGTTTTATCTTTATCTTCTTCCTCTATTTCTACTTGCCAATAACCACTTTGTAAATCCATAGACAAAAAGTATTTACTTTTACCTAACCTATCTAGAGTTTCTTGGATATTCGGTAACGGGTAAACGTCTTTGATTGTTACTCCGTTTACTTTACGAAAATCCACACAGAACCTTAATTTTCCATCCTTTTTAGGAACTAATACCACTGGAGATGCATAGGAACTACTACTGTCTTCTATTACACCTTGTTCAAGCATTTCTTTTACACATTCTTTTAATTCAATCCAGTTTTTTTCGGGTACTCTATAAGGTCTCTGTGCTATAGGTTTATTATTGTTTAACACTATCTTATGTTTTACTTTGTTTGTGCAACCGTTAGGATCGTTTTCTCCTACAAATATATCTCGATATTCTTCTAACAGATTTATCAACCTTTGCTTATGTTTCCGTTCTATTTTTCCTAAGATAGAATCCCAGTCTATCTTACTTTGTTGCGTTCGTTTATTACCATTATTAGCGTGATGTTGCCCGATCACAGCTAACTGCTCTCTACTGCTAGCCTTACCTACTACTATGTT